TAGTCCTTTAAAAACAGTTTCAAGGTACTATAAGAGAACAAGGGCGGGTCAGCTTTACGAGGATTTAGGTCTCTCTTGGCACCCTGTTTGTATTTGTTATTTGTATCACACATACAGTAAATGAAATCAATAAATGTACAGTGGGCTGTGTCCTATTTATAAATAATTTTGAGCACCACTTTCGCCAGGGATCTTTAGTCTTAAATAAAAAGCTAATGAAGAAATACTTCAAACTCGTATCCTTGCTTTCTATGTTGGTATAGTCACAGAATGTTAGGTTTGAAATTAAAAATGGCATTCAGCATTTGTGATTACTAATCCTCTTACAGTGAAGCAGATTAAGTTACACGAAAAATAGCTTAACCCGGGCTGTGAAATGTGAAAATTAAACTTCAGGGTCCTTCAGAAAATCTTAGATTATTCGATAAGCTTTGAAAATTGTGCATGAATGGAATTGTCATCTAGAAATTTTTTATCCGTCCTCAAGTAATAGAACATTGATTCTAGGCAATATTTGCCTCTCCGAACAGATATTTTACAGGAAACAGCCGTTGGATACCCCTGAAATCAGGAAACAAATTTTCAGAATACTAAGGTTTAATACAAAGCGAGAGAGGTGCAGGGAGCACATCCGTTTGAACATTATAAATGGACGTTTGTTGTTTCGTTTCACAGGTTTTCGAAGTTTATGAGCCTTTGCGATAAATATATCGCAATTCGGACAACGAAACAAAATTGCAAGTTCTTCAAGCACCATTATCCTGCGTGTTGACGCCAAAGACTGTGTGGAAATTATATGAAAGAACATGTCGTACACTCTTAACCTGTGAACCCCCCTTGGAGCAAGTTGAAGAACTTGGCCACAAATGTAAACACTGTTTTTCTGGTACTGTTGTTAAGGTATTGCCTCATCGAATACCAGGTGGAAAGTTATCGAGTTTTCTCCCCGTGTTTACTTATCGAGCAGTTGGTGTTTCGATTATTGCATGTTGTTCGCGACCCAAGAGCAAGTATAAATTCCAGGATAAAACTGGGATGGTTTCCCGAGTTCAATCATACAAAATTTACGAAAATGGTTGAAAACTATTGTAATGTTATCATTGACAACATCGAGTTCGGCCAAAACCTTGATGTAATATATCAAACAAAGAGATGCAGTGTTTCATCACCAGATGAAACACCGAGAAGAGAGTTGAAAATACGACGCGCAGCGGAGTATTTTTGACGAACTTCGAGGTGTTTCATCTGGTGATGAAACACTGTGTCGAATGTTTGATATTTTTCTTCAAACAAAATCATTTTGAAGGAGAAATTAAGGATTCAAATACTAAGCAGTGTTTCATCCGATTTCCAAACACTCATTAAACATTAATTTCCTTTGTATTTTCTTAATGAATTATTAATGAGTTTGAGAAGATTCGGTCAAACACAGATATAAGCTTGTTTTCTATCGGGACATTGCTGCTAATCCGCTTAATACAGCAAAAGAAATCTTTACATTCGCAGGGATGGATCTTGATGAGAATACTTTCGAGTGGATAAAAGCCACAACAAATCTTAGCAACAAGACGGAAGCAAACAAAGCGAATTTTAAGAGTCTAGACTCGTTGGTGAGGAATTCTAAAGCGAACATTGAAAAATGGCGAATTGAATCTCCACCCGAACGTACAAATGCCATCGAGAAAATTTGTAAGCCGTTGTTGGAACTTATAGACGAAATGAGCATGAGTGAGAATGTTCATTGGATAACTGAGTAAATTAGCAACCCTCATTTCTAGTACAGTGGAAATTCACAGGAAGATTTAAGTCCCGCAAGCTCATAAGCACAGAGTTTATGAGCATTTATTGGATTCAGCTTTCGTGTGATCCGAAAAATTATGCAGGGCGAAATGTGACGAAAAGCGAGCGAGCGATTTATCGAACGAACTATAACTCATCCAACAGGTATGACAACCCAAAGAAGTTATTTTGGCAGGAAATCGCATAGCCACCCGCGTCTTGTGAAGCCGGGGACAACTAAGGAGTCAATAAAGACGAAAACGGAAAGCGAAAATTGTTTCTGTATCCTTGTTGTCTAAAGTATTAAGCTTAGATTAATTGTCAAGTCTACAAATTTAGAATATAGTGAAAAAAGAAAGTGGGCGACAGGCTGAACTGCAAAACAGTCCGTAGTTTTGCTTATTCAAGTACGCGCGAGCAGTCAAACAAAAGGTCTGGAACGAGGCTGAAAACAGAGAGCGAGACTGGAGAGAGACGCTAAAAATTTTCTCTCCTCACACGCCCTACTGACTCCACGCTTTACCGATTTCTTTACTGATTTTGGGAAAAAACCGACTTTTTGCAGTCTACGACAAGCCAGCAAAGCTCAACGAGAAAAAGAGCGACAGAGAGCTTGGGCAAAAGATAAGGAGCTATTATTTTGTTGGAAGAACATGAAAATTTTTTTGCGGCGGTGAGAACATGAGAAATCTTAGCGGCCACCAAGGTGAAAATGAGCGAGTGAAAAAAAGTGAACAACTACAGGTACGACATTTCCTCCATAAAACGTGCAACTAGGAAGTTTCGGGAAGTTTCACGTTGTGGTCGTGCAAAACAACGGCAAAGAAATATACAAAAAAAAGTGTGCTGTAAGTGCAAAGTTGTTTTTTTGCTAATTAGACCTATTGTTGTTGTATCACCGGTCTAGTTGCCTTCGCCGCTTCTACAACATGATTTTATATTTTGTTTGAGCAAACTATAAATATATCGAGAGCTTCGCCTTTAGCCCTGGCTAAATCTATATATTAATAATAATAATAATAGTAATAATAATATGAGAATAATTTTATTGAACTTTAAAAATATATATACATAATTTACAGAAATATTTGAAGTAAGTAATAAGCACTAAATAACATTAAGAATTATATAAATTATAAAAATAGCAATCACTGTGTCAATAACGATTTCGCAAATACATTCCTTGCGGCTCAGATGCGGTCAATGGCTCTTACAGGCAGTCCAGAGTTTTAAATAAAGTCATTACAAAAGAGAATTATCCGTCTGAAGAAAACAAGTTAAAAAGAATAAAATCTCGTATTCCTAAATCCTAATTCTTTAAAAAAATAAATCGTTAAAAAGATTAATTCGGGAAGGCTCTAATATTATCGATCTGTAGATCTGAGTCAGCAAAGTCTAGCTGTCTTCTTCCGGATATTGAGCCTCTCAAGCATAGTATCGCAGACCGTACGATGGCGAAAGATACTTTAGCTCTTATCCCGGAAATTGCGTTTGAGCAACTTTCTCCCTTCTTTTTTGCGATCAGCTCCGCAAGTTTACTGTGGTACTTAATACACTCATCCGCCATTCCACCTGTGGTCGTGAAAACTAGGGGAGTGAACGATCCCTTTTCGATCTCCATTACTCTTTCCGCTTACTGCCTCTTCTTTTCGTTCTCATGCTTCCTGTAGATCTGCTTAGGAGTCAAGTCTCTCTAAGAGTCTGCATTAGGGTGACACACCCGAACGACGAAGAATGCAGATCTCTGTCTCTTCCAGAAACCTCGAGCATGAATATCCAAACAGGCATCAGGGGGCTTTGTTAGCGCCATGATTTAGTGATCTCCTGAGGGACCGGCTCTACTTCTACATCATTACAGACCGTCCTTGGAATCTCTGCTTCCAAGTCACGCAGTTCATTGTGGCGCTGGATAATGAAGCCCCCGCGCTGACACACCATTGCTTGATCCACGCTAAATTGAACAACAAATGCGTAGAGCACGGGTGTGTCCGTTATTTCCCAGTCGTACCGTAACTTGATTGCATCTCGAAATTCCTTAATAATGATAAATAATAATAATAATAATAATAATAATAATAATAATAATAATAATAATAATAATAATTGCCGAGAGCGCGCTTACTGGGTACAGCCAGACCCTTCGCAAAGTCTTAGACACCTAAGGTCACGGGCGGTGACTTGATGTTTAAGGAAAAAAAAATAAATTGTAAATTGATGTTTTACCCACGAAGCACTTAAGAGTTCATATGAACTCGTTTAAACGTGTCCGTGCGTTCCAGATCGAATTGGAATTTGGAAGTGTTGGTTTCTGAGGAGAGGGGAAAACCGGAGTACCGGGAGAAAAAACCTTTCGGAGCAAGAGAGAGAACCAACAACAAACTCAGCCCACATATGGCGTTGACGCCGGGATTTGAACGCGGGCCACACTGGTGGGAGGCGAGCGCTCTCACCACTGCGCCACCCTTGCTCCCTGGAAGAGAAGCAAGCCATTCAGAAGCGCGGTGGACCATCGTTTCCCCCTGCTCTTTTATTCTACCCTCTCCTCTGTCAGTCGAGGACATAAAGAGGCCGGTGCGGTGGAGAGAGGAGCACTCATGTCTTATAGGCGTGGCTATTTTTGGGGGTACATGTCTCTCCCTGTGGGTGGGGTCAACCTGGAGGAAACAAGACCACTCAGAGCTCTGTTCAACATTTGGTAACAGCCCAGCATTCGCTGATATATTTGACTTTGTGAAAGATTTGAACCCAGGAGTTATTTCTCGACTCAATTTAGAAAGCTGGTTTACTTTAACTTAGAACAAACGCCAATGAGTCACAGTCAACAATTACCACTACCGTACAAACGACTTATTGACATACTCAAGCAAAACTGAAAACTACAGAATGACTTGATATTCGACATTTTGACTGACAAGAAACGACTGTTCAACTGTGACAAAAGACGGATCGACAATGACTTTTAGACTCTTCATAGCTAATAACATCACGGCTTAACTGACAGGCGAACAATAACATGGCCAACTTGGCGACATGGCCAATCAGGTGAATACCATCAACTAACGTGATACAACTCACTTTGAGTCTAAAGGTGACTACTGCACAGCAGGTTTTCGGAACATCAGTTGCTCTCAACAACCGTCCTATTCAGAATTACGCCGTACCCGAACGATCATGCTCTATCTCTTTATGATATTCAGTTTCACTTTACTGGAGAATATTGTCTGAGGTTCAGAAACCTTTTCTAAGCCCAGCAAAGCCATCAGAGCTCTGCACTCATTCTCTACGACTTGATTCCTTTCAAAGAACTCATCTTTCCTCCATTTATCAGCATTTCCCGTTGCGTTCCTCACCGGTGAAAAAGGATCTTCAAGCGCCTTTTTCAGTTGATCTCCGTTCGGCCTGGTGCTCTCCAATATCCATTTCTCTGTCTCCAGTGGCATTGAAAATTCAGCAAATTTGTAGATATCCCTCGCAGTACCTAGCGGGTCATCGGCTATCTGCTTGTACAAAACTACTTTATATCGGTGATCGAGGTTGAATTTTTTCAGCGTCGTTTTTGCATACGCTAGATTTTCTGCGATTGTACTGCACAGTTCTCTTGCGGTTTTGCCTAGATGTGGATTCGGAAAATCCTTAATCCATTTTATGTCTATTCGAGTTGATGTTCCCTCTGGGATCCCGTACCAAATGCAATATACGCACATCTACATCCGGATTTTCCAGTAAAACTTGGGGGACCAGATTAGCGATTTTCTCTCGAGGAAGCCGCACAGGCGAAACTTTGACAACGCTATGCTTAAATTTTGTCCTGCAAACGTCGTCCACAAATTCTGGGTTGTCGCGTGGCTTTGGACAATGCAGTTCATTGTTCATGCTGTTTAATTTGTTGCAAAACTTTGGTGTTTTGAAAATATTAACAGGTAGGGCACCAGTCAAGGTGCTTCCACGTAATAGAGAAATTTCCTCGATGTGGAGTAACGAGAAAAATTACAGCTAACAATGGAATTAACAACCTCCACGTCACAGTTTAAACAGTCCAAACCTTGGTAGAATTTCCAATATTTTGTTATCCAAAGAGGCTCATATACCAGGAATATTTGAGGATCCTTTTGCGAACATGGTGCTTATAAAAGTGGTTCCCGAGCGATCGTGTCCGAAGATAATCAAGCTGCGCCTACGTGCTCTAGGAGTCAGCAGATTCTCATTCTGATTCTGGGTGTCTTTTTCTATAAATTCGCCTTGTGTTTTTCTGGCGGTTCCTTCCGTTGAATCACCAGATATCGTTAACTGTTGTAAGCGAGACATTAGAGTGCAAACCAGAATCGCCGCAAAGAAACAACAGAAGGAAAACAAACATCTCAGGAGAAATATTGTTGGCATCATGGAGAGCCCCAGTTATTGATCTATAAAACAGAATTATAAAATTCATTGTCTTTAACCTCTGGCTCTCTGAAACATTGAATAAAGTAAGTGGATCGCATTTGATTGCCAGGTTAAATAGGACGCAAAACCTTAATTGTATGAACTGTTATCAAAGAGAGGCTGAATCAATAGGATAAAAATTTCGGTTTGGAACGATTCAGACAGGAAAAATAGAAACAATTTTTTAAAAGCTCAGTATTGCATAATTTTAGGCATGTTTTCACCAAAAACTCAAATTTAGCCTCAGAAAACAGCCGACGTTTGGCGACGCTACCACTGGTTTTCCCGCCAAATGACGTCTGAGAAACAAGCGCAGAAATTCCATACTGATGACGCGTCACTACCCAGATCTGGGTAGTGTTCTGATTGGTTGAATCAAATTTACCACATGGCACGACCAATCAGAAACACTATAGCATGCGTGGCAGGCGTTAAAGGGAAGGGGGAATTTGGGCGCGCGAGAGCGCGCGAGGGAGAAAGAAAAGGAACGCCTGCAAGGAGACCATTGTTTTATCCATTTTCCACGCTCAGATTCTGAGCGTGAAAACAGTGATTGGTCAGAATTAATTAAATGTCAATATTCGACATAATACCTTTTTCCGATTGGTTGAAAACGACATCACGCCATTTGAGTAACTAAGCATATGTTGTTAATGAAGCGTGACGAGATTTCTCTTCTGGATTTCACCGTTAAAAGGCATCAATTTCAGCTTGAAAGGAGAATAGAAAAAAGCAGTTAAAGAACCGTATGAAGGAAAAGGCCTGTCAGCAGATGAGTTTTACTGACTGGTTTTGAAAAGTATCATGTCGGTTTTACTCACTAGAAGAAAGAAAGGAAAAATCATGCTGCCTGTCTGCTTGTTATCTGCTGTTTGACCCGCGTTATTAACGGCAAGATTTATAAGGAATTGAAGACGAAACGATCTATAACCCTCAGCGATTTTTGGTGGAGGACTTCTTCTTGCTGGTTATAAAAGCGCCAGGAACTTACTTTAATAATTAATTGCTGCCTTCTTGCAGATATTCGCAGTTCAGCTCTTCTTTCCCCGCTACCAGCGTTCTTTTGTGTGCTCCGCTGGATCTATATATTTCGTCCTGATAGAAACACAGGTAACCCAGGCTCACTGTTTGTGTCGTCACGTACGGGTTTAATAACATGAGCAAATATAGAGAACGTATAGGGCGAAGTTTAGGTCTGGAAATTTGCTAGAAAATGGAAACAAAAATCGATGAAACTTACCATGTGGCGAGTTGTAGCCTGCGTAGCAAGCGTTTCTGCGCGGTTTAGGCAAAAAGAACGTGGAACGAGAGTCAAACTAGTCAAAGACCGCGAGAAAAGTGGCTCTCGTTTCATTTCTCGCGCGGTCCATACCGAAAGTCCCCTTCCTCGGTATTTCTTTGCTCCGAAACCAAACGGAAACGCTTGCTACGCAGGCTAGGCGAGTTGTTGTTGTCCTTAATATACACATGAAGTTTCGAAAAAAATAGCGTCTGCTTCATCTTTCCTACTACTATGTAAGAAAGATGAAGCAGACAATTTTTCGCGAAACTTCGCGTGCATATTAAGGACAACAACAACTCCCAACATGGTAAGTTCCATTGATTTTTATTTCCATTTTCTAGCAAATTTCCTGACCTAAACTTCCCCCTATATGTCCTCTATATTTACTCATGTTAGGAAACCCGTAAGTGACACAAAAAATGAGCCTGGGTTACCTGTAATAGAAATTCAAAGAGTGACGGCAAAGGCTAGTAGTGACCCGTCATCAGTATGGAATTTCTGCGCTCTTTCCTCAGAGGTCATTTCGCGGAGAAACCAAAGTGAAATGTCGGCTGTTTTCTCAGGCTATCTCAAATTGAGTGGTTAAACATTTTGCACGAAACATTGAACATTACTTTTTTAATTAAGAGGTGTTTTAACGCTAAAAATATGATGGGAATCTTAAACTCTTAACAGAAAACTCCATTTAGCACCTCGGCTAGCGCAATGATGTTCATGACATGTCTTCAGGGACAACCCTGGAAGAGTTTCAACCGCGGCAGGATTAGCTCAGTCGGTAGAGCGCTTGACTGAAGAGCTGGAGGTCGCGGGTTCGATTCCCGGGGTCGGACCAAGTACTCAGGGTCTTAAAATAACTGAGAAATGAAGGTACTTCCTTTGCCCTGCAGGCGGCTAAACCTTCGCATGGATCAGATGACCACGTAAAATGGCGGTCCCGTCTCCATTAGGAGACGTAAAATATAGTGCTAAATACATTGAGACTCAAATAAAGTGCATTTTTGTTTAAAAAACCAAATGTCTTCTTCCAAACTCTTTTTCTTTAGCAAGTCGTTTGATCCTCTCTTTCCGGTGGGAAAGGACCGTGACAGTATTTATTTTCTTCAGTGGCCAAGGAGAACTTAAATTTCAAAGATATAATACTTTGTTTGGATAAATTATGAAAGGTAGAATAGATACTAACCTCTCCTGTTAATAATCACCACTTCAGATGGATAAGGAGCTTTTTTTATAGTTCCTGCAGTTAAGAGATGATAAACCCCCTCGCGGTTCAAAACAATACTACTTGGCTTTTGTGATGCGGGAAAAATAATATTGCCTTGTGACAATTCGAGTCGTCCAGCAAACAGAGCAAACATAGTTGTGAGAAGAGGAAAGGTTGCTTGGAGATAAAGATTTAAAACGAGATGATGGATACCGAAACAAAGTATCAAGCCAGAATAATTAAAGAAATATGGATTACTGGTGTGGACCGGACCAAACTCGACTGTAGCAACCCAGTTTCAAGTTATAAAGCAAATAAATCACGTTTATTGACTTTTTAGGGTATTGCAGTTCAACTTGGAGTTAACTGACAAATTTGCTCTCCCTCCCAGTAATCATAGACACAATACACCAAGTTAGCGACAACATTAAAATAGAATAACAGCATAGCCACGTGTCCGCCAATGTGCAAATCCAAGTTTGTCATTGGAATCAATCTAAACTCAACGTGATTCATCGCAGTAGTTTCTTTTGCATACTTAAATACTTATCTTCCCTAATCATTTTTTAGCTTCGTTTGTGCTAAATCAGGAAACAGCAGGTGTCTGCATAAATTCAAAACAGTCACTCTGTCAGGTTTTTCAAAGCCAAAGTCAGGCAAGAATCAAATCGTCATAGCAACGAAACTGTCCAAAAGGTGACTCATATATCGTTATTCAATTTTACCCTTGGTTAGTCTGTCTTCCAGACTTTTTCCCTTATTCTTGATTTCTAAATCAAGTTCTGTGAGTAGAATAATCTTTGGTTTAAATTATCTTTGTTTCAAACAGTCATTATCGTAGATCAGGACTGGTAAATTACATTCAGAGTCGCGTCTACCAGTTGTACAGATCATTTCCATTTACCGTAAAACGGCCGCGAAAGCTTAAAACTGATATCAAAGATCGCTTTGATGAAATGGAACACAATTTCCGTTTGGAACATTTCGATCGGGAAAACAGGAATACCTTTTCGGAGGTTCCGTTGCTCCCGAAAATTTTTCCCTATAACGACCTGCTAAGTTGTGTTCCAATTATTTATGGAAATTTTTGTAAATGGTAAGCAACCAAAGTAAAGCTACGCGCATACATTTTTTACACACATTGTTGGCCAATGATCGGATGTTATATGTTGCGTCCGTTTGCACATCCTGTTGCATGTGGTTGCGCAAAGTTTGAAACCGGTCAAACTTTTAGCCCCGTGCAAACGGACGTGACATAATTGGCTAACAACTCCCTGGATCTTGTTGGGAGTTGAGCAAAGGTTACCATTAACGACTAGAGCATTATGGGTAACACCGTTGGGGTTCCCCAGTGCTTACGATCAGCGGTCTTTCCAATTGCACACGTGAAAACATGGCGGACGCTTTTGGTGGCGATGATATCTTTTCTGTTTTCGAAGATAATTCTAGCCCAGAAAATACCAAAGGAAGGAAAAAAGACAAGAACAACGTAGCTGGTCCGTCCACGTCTATAGATGCTCCTCAAACTGGTGAGAAAAGAGATTTCAAACCAGACGTTATCGATCTGGCTTTGGAGGAATCGTCGAAGAAAGCGAAACTTGATGACTTAGAAAGGTATGGGTTCGTTTAGATCGTGTATTTTCAGCACAGTCTTGGAATATTTTTAACTCATAATTGTCACCTTTAGGAAGATATGATATTGATTCGCCAGGCAATGTAACATTTTGCGAGTAATGTGTATTGATACAGATGTATTGTAAACAAAAGTGTAGTGCCATTGACGGTCGAATTTTTCAAGTTGTAAATATCGGTAATGTCAATGCTTAACCAGTCAAAGAGTTATTCATGGCAGTATGGCTGGGTACATTTCGTTCTGTAATCGCACGAGATATGAAACAAACTCTGCGCGATCGTTCAAGTTGTCTAATCACGAGCCTTCCTAATTGACGATCCTTGAGTCGAACGTCTTATGCTCTAGATAATGCAAAAACTAATAATGCTGTGAATGTTCTGAATGTTCTTTGAATGTAGACTTTGGCATTTGAGAGATTAAAAAACTGGCAGAAACGTTTTGCAACCACTAGTTATTTCTTTGAAATATGAAAATAGCGTAACGGTTATCCGTTAAGAAATTTCCGTTCATGAAGGTACAAAACAATGGCAAGCAAAGTTCTATTCTTGGTTGTGATGTCGTTGGTGGCGAGTTGCTTTGGTGACCATATACTGCATGATTAAGCCCAAATCTGATTGGACCTTGTACCCCCCCTCCGGCAAACCCCTGGGTAACCCCCGTGCATTTGAAGTTTTTAACATACATGTTACCTCAGTGCCTCTCTTGGCGAAAATAATAAGTGTCAGATCAGTTGCTTGACAAAAGTGACAGATTTGACCATTAAATGCCCCCCCCCCCCCCCACCCCAAATAAATGTTTTTATGTTTTACTATAAATATTGTGATATGAATGATCGAGAGACTAAACTATGTGAATTGATTCATAAGTTTTAAGTTCTTTTTAACACACAGTTTGCTGGAGACAATACCTCGTGTACAGGTGATAAATGTTGAAACCATAGAGGCTTGTACTCATGAGGTGAGTTTCAAGAATTTTGGAAGATCAGCGCTTTTGTACTTTCTTAGATAATAAATATCCAATTTCTCAATGTTTTACAGCCCTGTTGAGCCCTAAGTCAGAGTAAAGACGTCATAACCAATTAAATTTTGGCTTGTATTACAAGAAAATGTATGTATGTTTACGTACGTTTTGTAATAGGTCTTTTTTTCTTCTTTGCGCCCTTGGGAGCCCTTGGGCTAATTATAGTGTGGTATTTCCTGAAAAAGTGCAGCAAAACCGCTGTCTGGTAACAACACTGTTGACTGAGCACAGAATTTCTTTTAGGCAAGATTTTTAAATTCAGGTTATTTGCTTCTCACACTTTGTAACAAGGGACAAGTGGCTGCTTTGCAAAAGTTACATGTAGCTGCATTATAGAAGTTGA